ACACCCACTTGGTTCCCAGCCTGCAAGGAATTGTCAGCTCTTGGCTAGCAGCTCTTCGTGGGCTGTGAACTCTGTGCACTGGGGAAACTGGTGGCAGGCGTTTGGAATTACTGGTGCAACTGCTGCCGCGTCAGTGCAGCTGAGGCAGGAATTTACTCCTCGCCACCGAGATGCAGCAACGCTGAATGGCGCCAAAGGCCGGACGCTCACTGCATGCAGGTGTAACTGCACTGAGCTTCTCCCCGCAGCTGCAAAGTGCAGGCTGGGCTCTCCAGACTGACTTTCAAAGCCTCGGTAGGGATTTAGACCCCAAATTCTTACTAACTTTAATGGGTGCCGGGCAGCCAGATCTCAGAGGCAACTCAGCAAACCTCAATGACCACAAGTGTCCAGGAGCTAGGTATTTGTCTCCTCTGAAAGATGGAGCCTCCAGCAGCCCAGGACGTCAGGTTCTGCACTGACTCCCTCTATCATCAATGCAGCTCGCGTGTAGACAGACCCGTGCTGTCTAACCCTGCTCAAACAGCCCTACGTGCCAAGGTGACAAAATGCCCGTCGCCGCCTGCGCTCTGGCTCCACTGGCGCTCTCACCGGGACTAGTGATGGTGGGAGATCTACAGAAAGGCTAGTGTGGGCAGGGCCTATTGACTCACCACCGCCACTATCTTCCAGCAGCCTGTTTTCCCATCCAAATGCCGGCCCCGCCCAGCTCTGCATTGCTTGAGCCGATGAGCTCATAGCCCAAGGTGGCATGACTCTCTTTTATGGTAATGATTTGTCAAGTTGAAACTAGTGTAGGGCAAAAGCTGAACTCAGTACAGTCTGTCAGCTACACCCATTCTCCAAAGGCATGCGCTGGAAAAGTGCCAGGTTAATAACTGCTGAGTTTTCCTGGCCTTCTGTGCATCCTCCCCAGAAGCCCCTCGGCTCTGCCGTGTCTTATGTAGGTTTGCAGCCCAAGGAATCCAAGTCCCAAATGTTCCTTTCCTCTCTAGCTGAGGACTCTGGAAGCTGGCACTGCAAGGAGAGCGCTGTGTGGAAATCCTACTCTGTCAGCACCCCCTTCCCGTCGGGCCCATGGCGCCGCCACGGATGTCGCCCATATGATGTCTTGGTGACGCTAGGCTTGAGTCTGATTTACCTCTCTCTGATTGACCCCTCATTGAGGTAATGGTTCTCGGGCTCTACTGGTGGTCTTTAATGAAAAGCAGAACAGTTTAAAAGTGGGCTCTCTAGTTATTAATGCTGGGCTTTCAGCCTAGAATAAAGCTACCGCAGGCTGCTTGGAGTAAACCAGAGGTCCTGATCACTCATGGTCATTAAAGCTGCCATGGCATGTTCTCCTCATGGCGCTACTTACTGCATTCAGCCTCCCTCCGTTCCCCCTGCATTGCCAACTGGATGCAGTATTTGCCTTCCAGCCTAGGCTGTTGCTGTGCGCTGCTAAACGCATCCTGCCTTCCGCTCCAGAGGTGTGAAGGTGCCCGTGTGTAAGGCCCTGTGGGGTCCTGAGTGCTAGTGATCCTGACCGCTATGGGAGCTCGTTGTCATTAACATCAGCTCATTCTGTGAGCAAACAAGGCCCTGCTTGTGGTCCCTGAAATCCAAACATCCCCAGCTAGTGTCCACCCCACTGCTGTCTGCAAACACAAATGAACACACTTCAACAGCTCCTTCTTTAATGCTGTTACTGAAGGATGCCTAAGACTGGACCCTTGTGACCTTCCACTTGCTCGTGAGCCTACGGCACGTTCATACGGCTGACAAATGGGGACATTTTGTGCCAGCATTGACAAATCCTGGAGCAGTTTAGCAGCTGCTCCCATGTGAAATCCTGAAGTCGCCCACATCTGGGTGAGGAAAACGGCATGGTAAACTGTGCTGCCCAACACGCCCTTACACGGAACTTAGCACCTGGTGTAGATAGAGTAAGCTGTGTTTACTTACGTGTAGGCTAGTCAGGATCAGCCCTGGGGAGGACCCTAAAGGCTCCCAGTTGCAAGATCTTCTCAAGAACTTTTCTACGTACAAGTTGCACCCGTGTGGGTTTTCTGAGTTAGTTACACGGGGCAAACCCCTCTGGTCACCCTCCTTCCGGTTTGAGCAGCTGATTTCAGCTTAATTTAAACGGCATCCTAATTCATTTACGCTTAAACCCAACTAAGCCTGTTTTTTACCCACTATAAATGTCCCCACTACAGGGGTTTGCCACCGTTAAACTACATCCGTTTTAAATAACCACTTTAGTTGGGCCAGTGCCACTAGCTCATGTAGACAAGCCCTGCATATCTCTGGAAGTGAATTGGAGTCATAGGCATGTGGGCTTGCTATGCAGAGAAGGACCGTACCAAGGTGTGGGGGCTGACTAGCTCCTACGCTGCGAGCAGAGCTGGATGTGACGGTTAGTGCCCTGTGGGTTTTAGTTGCAGGAATACACAGAATAGTGGCTGGTTTTTAAAACCAGTATTATTGGCAGCAGCTGGGGCGGGGTGGGGGGTGGGGGGGTGTCATGCCACCTGGCGCTGGAGATGGCCTGAAGAAGGGTCAGTGATGCTGTTCCCTTCAGGAGAGTGAGGGGATCCTGCTTACCCATTCATGAGCCATTCGGAGTCCCTCTCCCCTGGGATAGCTTCTGCTCCTCCACCCCACCTATTTCTATCACTTACCAAAGGCCACCAGGTCTCACATCATGTTGGTCTCTCTGTGGGCACAACCTGCTCACAAGGCTAACTGCAGTCTAGCTCCTCTGCCCAGGTCCAGCATTCATGCACAGAGCGACTACAGGCAGCCTGGCGTGCATGAACCTGCCTGGAAAAGTACCGCGCTCACTCCCTGCTTCGACTTGAGCACGCCAGCAACTCCCTCTCCCCTTCCAGTGCATTGGAAACGCATGCTTTGCGGTGTGCCAGGCAGCGCTGGCCGTGCCCCGGCAGGGCCGCACCGTGCACCGGGATGCAGTAAAGAAGTGACTCCGAGGACTACAAAGGCAGGAGTGTAAGTGCAGTTTTATTGGAGAGGGACAGGCAGGCAGTGGCTTTGGCAATACACAAATACAGGAGGCACCTCAAGTTTGTCATTCTTAACCCACTACAAAGAACCCCCCCATGGCCCAAAACCTCCAGCCTCCTACTGACTCAAGGAATACCCAGGAGGTCGTAGAGGAACCCTGCAGAATAAGTCACTACAGAAAGCAAAGGAGAGCGCACTCTCTAGCGGCGATCGACTAGGTTTTGGTATCTTTACCCCGAAAACCAAACTCAGCTTCCCCTTTTTAAATGTTAGGTGCCAGGAGGCACCCGCAGGCCCCAGTGCTGGGGGGCGGTCAGGAACCCCTGGTGTTACTGACAATGGGGGGGGACACCCAAGTCTGTGTGAAGCTATTAGTGCCCTTCCACAGCAGTAACCACCCCAGCAGGAAGATCACAAGAAATGTGGAAGGAGGGGGGAGGGTCAGGGAAGGGGGAATTGTCTCAAAGCTGCCATGAGAAAAGGCAAGATATACGTGTGAATACCATACGCACAGACCAGTCAGTCCCCTTTGCTGTTGGAATCCAGGCAGAGCGTTTGGGAGCCGAGACGTGTCTTACAAAAAAGGAGGAGGGACAGGGAGAGTGACCATTGCTTGGTGGGCTGCAGTTCAGTTCTTAGGCTCTTCCCCGGCTTCTCCACCGTCTTCTCCCGCGCACTCTGCCGTCCATAACGTAAGGTTGTCCCTGAGCAGCTGCATGATGAGGGTGCTGTCCTTGTACGAGTCTTCACTGAGCGTGTGCAGGTCTCCCATGGCTTCATCAAACGTGGTTTTGGCCAGCGTGATGGCCTGCTCTGGGGCGTTGGCGATCTCGTAGTGGAAGACGGAGAAGTTGAGGGCAAGCCCCAGGCGGATGGGGTTCGTGGGCTGCATCTCCTTCTTGCTGATGTCCATTGCTTCCTGGTAAGCTTTCTGAGCATTTTCTATGGTCTCCTTGCGCTCATCCCCGGTGGCTACCTCGGCCAGGTATCGGAAGTAGTCTCCCTTCATCTTCAGGTAGAAGACTTTGCTCTCTGCATCGCTGGCTTTCTTAATGAGATACTTGTCCAGCAGCCCCAGGACAATGTTGCAGACGTCCTTCAGTTCCCCCTCCACCTTCTCCCGGTATTCGTTCACCAGTTGCGCTTTGTCATCACCCTCTTCAGTCTTGTGCTCGATGCTGGAGATGACCCTCCAGGCGGACCTCTGGCATCCCACCACGTTCTTATAGGCAACAGAGAGGAGGTTGCGCTCCTCATTGGAGAGCTCATCCCCGTGCTCCACCACTGCCTTCATGAAATCAGCCATGTCCTCGTAACGCTCGGCCTGCTCGGCCAGCTTGGCTTTTTGCACCTGGTGGTTTCTCGCCATGGCTGGGAGCGCTGGTGGAAAGGAGACCGCTTTGCAAGGAGGCTGGTTCGAAAAGGAGCAGGCAGTCACCCTGGGAGCCTTCTGAGTCTCTGTTCAGCTCTGCTGACGGGATCGGCTTTTGGCTTGGCGTCTCAGCCTGGAGCAACGACTAGGCGTGGCAGAGAAGCTCTCAATGAACCCCTCCCCCCACTTCCTCCCAGACTGTGCTCTCCTTAAAAGGAAAATGCAGTGATTCACCTTGGAGCTAAACGGATTATGCACTAGCCAATGTCAGAGAAATCCACCTTAATGCAAGCCCCCTCCCTGAGACCTGCTGGGCAGGAGGCTGGTACCCGGAGCAGAGGTCTTGCTGTTTGGTTCCAGTTTGCATGGCTGACTCTTCTCGCTGTCATAATTGGCCCCCTTTTTGGCAGCCAACGACGTGCTAGGCCATGGAGGGTGAGCTAGAGGAGGCGCCACCTGATCGGAGTTAGGCTCCCTGCCAGGGTGTGTGGGGGAATCTTGTCCCACTGCTGCTGTCCCTG